TAATATTCTGTCTATGTCAGCCTTCGTTTGTTTTCGTAATTTAGTATTACTTTTTCCTTTTACGTTATTGGTAGTACTAGGTTAGTTGTATTTCTAGTTCTATATATATATATATATATATATATATAGATATATATATATATATATGTTTTCTATTTCTCTTTTTGTACATGCATTTCTTTACATGCGTTTGCTGATTTGTAGGGGCATGAAGGTCACAGAGGCTTTACGGTTACAGATGGAGGTTCAAAAGCAGCTTCATGAACAGCTTGAGGTGCCCAGTTTCAGCACAATCCTATACTCATTTCTTTCATTTCTCTGTCGATCCTCCTTCCATTATCTCCCCAACGAAAATATGATTATTATTTTTTTCTGTGATACTTTTCATTAGATACAAAGGGCCCTTCAGCTGAGGATTGAGGAGCATGCACGGCAATTGCAAAAGATGCTAGAAGAACAAACAAAAGCTGGGTACAATTTGATGGGTGGGCATAGCTCCACTGCACCATCTACATCAGCCCGAGAGGCTGGTTCTCCTCTCTCAACAAGCCATGTTGAGCCAATGGCTACTACTGCTAACAGCGGAGGTACCGATTCTGAAACTGAATCAAAAGCATCGGAGAGTAGGAAACGGGCTCGGGTTGAGGCTGGTTCAGAAGAAATTTGTAATGAATAGCAGGTTTGTTTTCATGGCTTCTCTCATCCATGTGGTTGGTGCTGCACACTTAAATGTGAGCTGGCATCAAGTGAAATAGCTTCCTATCTTCATGGTTGAGAAATGTATGTTAGGAGGTTGCTACATTGATGAGTTTGTCAATGTTGCGCGGTCGTTTTCTCTCTCATTTTTGCAATTCATTCGTGGAGGACAAAAGCTGCTAGGGATTGTACAAAAGTGTTTGTTGCCATTGCTCGCATAATTCTGTGATTTCATGTGGCTTGTTAATTCATTTAATCGAAATGACCAAATTTTCTCTCTCTCCAATTATTTTTGCTTATTTATCTGCAGAGGATGAAAACTGGTTATTTGTTTCTGATTTTTCAATGTTAGGTTGGGGGCATTGAGATTAATTAGTAAGCAGGGATAATGGGTCTCATTCTCTTTCCCCCATCCAAAGAAAAAGCTAAGAGAGCTGTATCTCAGTTGCTAGTGTTGCACGTCATGGTGTTGCAGATAGGGCTGCCACCGGCCAGGTTCGGGCCGACCAGGCCCAGTTAGAGCGCGAATATTAGCCCGCCCCAGCCTTGGAGTGTGTTTTTGGGCTGGGCATGGGCTGGCCCAAATATAAGCCCAGCCCAATTAAAAGCTTTTTTTTTTTAAATCTCTCTTCAAATGTTTTTATTTGTAAGCCAAAAAAAATATCTATAAAAAAAAAGAACGTGGCACTCACCCACCTCATTCCCTACCCCCACCGCCGCTCTCTGTCTCTCAAAATCCATCCGCCTCTCTTATCCATATTCTCTCTCTGCTTTAAATGTTAAAAGCCCGTCCCGGCCCTAAAAAGGGCTGCCCTGCCTAGGCCCAAGCCTGCCCTGAAACCCGTTTTGGCCCAAAATGAGCCCACGAATGGCCTGAAGTTTTGGCTCGGCCCGGACCATTGGCAGCCCGAGTTGTAGATCAAATGGAAGTGATATACAGTTGATACCAATGCCCCTAGTTCTGGTCTTGGAGTCTCCAAAAATTCAAAGTTTTTATTTATTTATTTTATTATAAATGCAAAATTTGCTGTTTCATGAATAATTGGAAATTCAAAAGAAGGGAGGCTTTTCATGAGAAAAGATCTAACCTAGTTAAGCTCAGAGGTCAACTTTTTAGTACAAACATGCAAAGTCATTGATAAAAAAAAAAAACAGCATCAACAAATGATGGTCTTGGAAGCCCGTTTGGCCCTTGCTTAAGATCGAAAAATCAAGGAGAGGAGAAGATAGTTGCGTTCCTATTTACTCTTTTGGAACCCAGAAATTTTCACATATCTATTTGAGAACCCTAAATTATTTTTATATTTATCTGAATCCGTGTATATCGGCAATAATTGTCAACAGAATTAAATAAAATAATTTTACTAGTATCTTCACCAGGCATTATAGAAAAACTGTACAAATGGAATCCACATCTGTGGAGAATTCACAAACAATAAACAATCTTCAAATTATGTTTCATTTACCTCAAGAACATATACAATGAAATATTTAATTGCTAGTTACTTATCAATGAAAAAGGTAGATGTTACTAGACCATGAAAAGCATTACAGGCTTAGAACAGCAGACATATATATCATTTCCAAAATCACATAAAATAACAAGGTAAAAAAATAAATCAGAAAAGAAAACCTTCTTTCCATACACCTACATCTCACAGGCAAAAGAAAGCCACTACTGCTCCTCTTCCTCTTAAATTACCTCTTCTTTTTTCTTTTTGTTCCTTTCTTGCCATCCATTGACCAAGAATGACAGCAATGGTTAGACAGCAGCAGTAACAGTTAGATGAATTAGACTGTAGCAGGGCTTGCTGGAAAACTGCTCTCATGGCCTAAATAAATATACAGAGGCCGTATTCTCAGCAAGAGTTTGGTTTTTGTTGCTTTTGTGTAAAAGAATTCTAGGTCCCCACATTAGCCACAACCTAGTCAGCCCCTGCAAAAGCAAACATGGACATTATATAAGTATTCCTAAATTTTAGATACCAATGTAAATTTTAACAAACACTACAGAATTGGAAGTCTCCCTAATACATTATTTCAAAAATATCTTTAGCAAACAAAATGACTTGTGCTGAAAATGATGTTTCAAAATAATAGGAATTTAGGCCGGTTCATTTTGCTCATGGAATCCTACTTTCAGAAGGCCTCTCATGCATCTTGAGATTGAAAACTTTGCCACCTTAGTGGTAGAACTTCAATCTCACTTCCTCCCCCCCTCGGATCAAGATCAAATTATTTGGTCCCCGACAGGAACCTTCTCTGTCTCCTCTTTCTACCACAGCCTATCTCTTCCACCAACCTTCCCTCTAGCTCCCAACGCTGTTGCAGCCCAGGTATGGACATCTTTTGCACCACCCAAAATCAAGATCTTCACGTGGTTGATACTCTCCCAGAGAGTACTCACAGTAGATCAATTGCAAAGAAGAGGGATCCCCATTCCTAATTGATGTGTCATGCATCTTGAAGCAGAAGAGACCAACGATCATCTACTACTGTTCAATTGCCTTTAACATTTGGGGTTTCATTCTCAAATTGTTTAATGTGCAATGGGTGCTACCAGCAGCAGTGACTTCCATCCTCACCTCTATTCAACCTTACCCTTGGCATAAGGCTGGGATTCTTCTTTGGAAGTCCATGGTGGCAGCAGCTCTGTGGGTCATCTGGCTCGAGCGCAACAACATAATCTTCAGGGGGAATTCTCTACTTGGCACAAAGTTTTCAACAAGCTCAAGTCTATGATAATCTTTTGGGCAACGAATCATCAGTGTTTCAAAGGAGTTTCTGCCTTGGCTGTCAGCCAAGACTGGAGAAATATACTCCAATGGGCATCCTGATGGAAACCTCCACCCCCGGGCATCTTAAAACTTAATTTTGACGGGTGCTCTCTTGGCAACCCAGGCCTGTCAGGGATAGGAGCTATCCTAAGAGACAACCTTTTTTGGGTTTTTTGCCTTCTCCTTTTGTTTTGTGAATCAACATGTTTTCATAGGTTGTTGTGCCCCATTTTAACCTCTTAAAAGAGGATTTTGATTCAGCTGTTTGTTTGATCTATCCCTTGAGCACCGTCGCTTGTGGTTTGCCAAGGTATCTTGTATATTTCCTTCTTTTAAATTAAAGGTTAACATTATCAAAAAATAAAATAAAATAGGAATTTAGGATTATTCAACCAGAAAAAAAGATTCATTTGAGAAATGAATGTTCGTTGGATCACAAACTTGCTCTAATTTATGGGAAGATTTCTTCTTCTTCTTTTTTTGTGATACTGAAGATTTCTTCATTTTTAAATCGTGTTCTTCATGTCAGCAAGTTGAACAAGTGTACATGAGGGACTGACCTGCTTTTGGATCAACATGCACAAAGAAACTAGCTGCAACAATAACATAGCAGAGTATGAGCATCAGCCCTTTGAAGTAGTTGGAAGTGCCTTCCTGCAAATGGATGTGGTATCAAAATTTAGAATCTCTACTAATAAGGTGCAAGTACTCACAATTTCATATTTTAATCTTATTGGCAACATATGTCTTCATAAACCACAAAAAATCACGAGTGTTTATAGTATGCAGGAAAACAATTCAAACATCTCATCTGTAACCAGTCAACTGACTAGCTTTTGGTAAATGCTAGTAATGAAGGAGTTTCCAATTTTCAATTCAATTATATATAATTCATTCTCTGTACCATTAACACAAAGGAGTAAGACTTTCAAATTGTTTCATAAACAAACCTGCAGTAGAAAAGCTACAACAAGGACTGTCATAAAAAGAGTGGCAGTCTCAAACAATTGAAAATTCAAGTCCATTGGCTGCCCCATAATCCATCCCACAACCACACAGAAGGGGATCTGAAATCAAAATCACAACAAATATTAAACTTGTAGAAAGCAAACTAGGTATTAAGATGCATATGACAAAGGATAAGAACTCAGATTCTCGCTTGGTCTAACTATCAAAAAAATAAAGAATAAAAAGGATGTTGATCTAAAGTGATTTGTGAAGTCTAACAAATAACCTGGCCACCTGGGAAACACAAATGGATGGTGTGTACAAATAACTCACAAAACCAAAAGAAACTCAAAGTCCAAATCAATGTGACCATATAAGCAAGAAATGTAACCGTATAAACAAGAGAAGAACATAAGAGAAAAGTGACTATCTAGGAAAGCACCAAAATTACAAACTAAATCTGATCACATGAATTACTAAGAACTCAAAAACTGGGTCTTGTTGGGTTCTAGCTTACTATATATATATATTAGCATAGTAACGTACCACGAACATTGATATTTGTGTAGATGATCCAATTGCAACTCCCAATGAGATATCCTGCACAAGTAAATTAAACAAAGAAATTGGCAAGAGACAAAAAAGGGATGTAGAAGGTCAAGACATATTGAAGAAGGCTTCATAAAGTAATCTCATAGAAACAATTACCAGTTTATCTTTAGTTGCAAACATTACGGCACTTGCATGCTCTGCAGCATTCCCCACAATGGGAAGTAGAATAACACTAATGAAAGCAATAGGCATATTCCATGACTTGGATGCTCCCTGAATCAGCATAAAAAATTCCATACAACAAACAATGAATGTTGAGAAACAAAACATCTTGACTTTACCAAATTTGGTACTAAAAATCTAACAAATCAGAAGCTTACCCATAAAATGAAAATGGTTCCCCAATAACAGTATCAATAAAAAATAATGTGCCTCAGATTTTTTTGAGAACTGATCTCCAAGATGAAATCTAAAAAGATATTTCAAAACAACAAAGAGAACATTACCTCTATAGTATCCACAAGATATCCCGAGAGAAAGGAAACCCAAATTGTCAAAGCTGCTAGCCACATTATTGCTTCCCATTGACTTATCTCAGGAGCTTCATCCTCTTCTGCATCTCCCTCAGTTGGGCTTCCTCCCTAAAAGAATGCAGAATGTTAAACAACCGAAATGCAAGTCAATTTAAGCAAACAATATATACTGAACTCTAGCCTGTGGAATGGTTGTGCATCATGTCTTCTCATTTGCACAATGTAAATTAGAAACAATACATAAAATTTCCACCATCAAAATTATTTCCAACTAATTTTCGATGGTGAAATGAACCAAACATATCATGATGCAAGATATAGATTTATCATCCCTTACTGACAAAGGTTCACAAATGGTGCCTATCAAGGTGCATTCAAGTGTAAAGGTTGTTCCAGAACCACAAAAGAATGCATGTAAGACCAATGGATAAAGTCGAAATCATCATCATCATCGTTATCATCATCATCATTCGAGGCTTATCCCCACTTTTTGGGGTCGGCTACCCGAATCCTGTTCTACCAATTTATTCTATCAAGGGCCATATCCTCATTCAGAAGATAAGTCAGATAAAGTCGTAATACTTTTTAAATTGCTTATTTATTCTTGGCTAGGTTTTCCTTGTTAATCATTCAATATGGTAAACAGGTTACAAACACAATCAGGGGCATTGAAGTAGATCCAATGGAAAAGTAAGGACACACCAAAGTTGAAGTTTATGGTTGTCATGACAAACAGAACCTACCTCATTGACTGGTGCATAAAGATTCGAGTGACTCTTCAACTGGAAAATGAGATAGCAGCCATATACCAGTAGCATGATACAACTGCTAAATCTTGAGAGAGCCAACTCTGAATCCCCAAAATGAACCTCAGTGTGGGTGAAGTGGAGCACAGCTGGAAACAGCAAGCCCATGACAGCCATTAATAACAAGCCCGAGTTCACTGCAGCAGCTGCCTGCCATTTAACATACACCATCTATTACTCTGAAAACTCTATCCCTCGAAATATAGAATGACAAGAGTTAGTATTAAAGAATTTGTTGTTTTTGTTGTTCTTGTCATTTAGATTTATTGTCATCTCAGTAGTAGGGTCTAAAGACAATTATCTCCGGGGCAAATAAACCATACCTTGTTAAAAACTTGATCCTTCTTACTGTGCATGATTCCACCGAATAGGAAAGCACATCCAAGCACAAGCAACATATTAGATAATATAGACCCTAGTAAGGACTGTTGGACAACACGTATCATCCCATTCTTCAAAGCATAAAGTGATATTATCATCTCTGTAGCATTTCCAAAAGTCGCATTTAAGAGACCACCAACTGCAAAATCATACTACAAAAGTTATTCTCTATAATAATACAAACCTTGGATACTTCAAATACTTGCAAACATGTCAAAAACAGTACTAGTAAATAAGAAAAAAAAAAAAGCTTTATATAAATATAGAGCTCTTTATAAAGGCCACTAGTTAGAAGATAACAGGTGTATGTCATGGTGAAGAAATTAAAATCTTTTGCTTAAGATGAAACTAAAGTAGTAAAAACATTTCATACTACTATCATGAGAAAACTTAATCGAATGAGGGAAGATCTGTTTTCCAGTAAATTTTCCAAAATTTTAGAAACATTGCCGAAATGCATTCCAGTTTATAATAGTTAGATCTACCACATAAGAAACTGTTCCCTCAATGCATGCAAAAGTGGTGAATGCAGCATACTAAAAGGAACATCATGTAACTATCTCAATAAAGGACGCCGTCCGTGTCCAAGAAGTTCAAACAGTGTTCAGAAAATCGACTCGGCCAACGTACTCAGACCTTGGCCAAGGTGAGTTACTCGGCCAAGTTCATGTCATGTTAAAAAAAAAGTTATAACAGCCAATAAGTCAAATAGACCCGTGTGATTATAGCTGGGGATACATAATATATAAATAACCGGTACACAGCACTAGGCCTCGCCCCTAGGCCAAGGCTGAGTAACTCGGCTGAATCCGAGTCTCCTTAGCCGAGTTCAAAAACAGTGAGTTAAAAAATTCAATAGTTTAAGAACTCTAGAAAGAAAGTCAACTTTCTCTCAAAAAAAAAAAAATCTAGAAAGAGAACTTAGAAGGACAGCTTGTTACTTAGAACAAAGACACGAATAATAATCCACCTATATAGTACTTATGGCTTAACCAAACAAAAATACTTGTGATGCTTAGAAGTACATGTGTGCATCATATCATTCACTTGTTCTTAATATATCACATACAAATGCCTAAGAGCCTAAAAAGTTGGCATCATCCAAATAAAGTACCAAAAGTTGATTTTCTGGAAAACTGATAAAAAACTTTCCTGATATTGTGAACATGTAGTATCAAATAAAAATGAAATGGAAACTTGAGTATCTCTAATTTGTACAAATGTGTATAAGAACGAAACATACCTGTAGATCCGGTGAAGAAAGCAAGCTGCCTGCATTATTAGAGTTGCTCAAAATCAGCGACAAGTCAAGATGCTCATATATGCAATGTATAATTTTCATAATATATACTTACTCAGTAGCATAACCCAAACGCTCAGCCAATGGGACTATACCTATCAAGCTGAGAAGAAAAACCACTCCCTGCAACATAGCCAGTTCAAGAATGAAATAAGGAACATTACCAATAAATAAATAAAAAATAAAATAAAAAAAATATTTATATATATAAACAATAAAAATGCATATAAAATATGTGAAATTATTTTGAAAATTAAATAAATAAAAAAATGTTTAAAGATTATTTTCTCATTTTTTAAGAAAATAATCTTTAGTATAAAAAATGAGAAAATAATATAGTATACAATTTATGTTAAAAAATATAAAACTAAAAAGGATAAAGATAAAAATACAAATAAGTACAATGTTAACATCTTTTTGAAAAATATATTAAAAGGGATGGAGAGCATATAGTATGCTCCCATGGGAGTAATACTGTACATTAACTCCCTCAGCCAACGAGGGTACTTCAGAGATTTTTATTTATTTATTTGAATTCTTGAGATCCAACTAAGAATCATGTTTTAAACAAGAAAAGATGGATTTTGAGTTCTTCAACACTAAGATCTTGCCTTCTGAAAATTGGACATTCCTTATTCAAGCACATAGAACATGCGATTTGATAATTTTCTCTTTTGAGGTTGGTTGCTATGCTCAAGGGGCCACATCCCCAACGTTTGGGGTCCAAAAAATATTACTAGCTTGAGATTTACCAGAGGGAGAAAATGGAGATTATGCTCCCGCTGGAGCGGCATATCTTTTGGCAACTAAATATGAGTACAATGTTAACATTTTTCAAAAAAAAAGAAGGTATTTTTGTAATTGATTTAAGTCATTTAATATGAATATAAGTATCTTCATACAAAATTTATGTTATATAGGTCCCCCTGATTTGGGGGGACTCAGGCAAGGCAAGTTGCCGAATGCGAGTTACTCAGGCATGTCCAAATCAACCCGCCTGAGTAGTAAAACATTGACTGGAATGAAAAGGAACAGCAATTGGTCACCACTTCCCAACAAAGCAACTATTTATTCCACTAGAGAAACCAAGTCATCGACAAAAAACTAAGTTTAAGAAACAAAGATGATGGAAATGAGGCATTTCAACATAGAATGATTTCATATGTAACATAACAAAAAGTACTAGTAAAATGTCATTAGAACTCACTGTATGTCCAATGAAATAGTGAACCAATATGGCAGCAGGACCAAAAGGCAGTAGTAAGTTGATTTTTGTCCCAAATATTACAGTCCTTATGCTCGAGAACAATCCACCCCTTGTTCTTTTGACTGTCCAGGGTTGTGAAACCCCTGCAAATGGTCCCCCAGGAACTGCATCAAGAATACGTGCCTTTCTATTTATTGCTACTGGGCTAACCAGGCTCTCATCTTCAAATTCAAGTTCTGATCTGTCGTGTAATGATCCCATCTGAATCACCAAACAATGTTAACCTTAAGCACTGAAAAGTACGGCAGGAACATAATGTTTATGATATACATACACATCAAGGGTATCTACTGCCTGTTCCCAAGATGGACAATTGGGAGGAACTATGGTGCGGAAATGACCAACCTGTCTATTGTCTATATTACAGTTCATCGCCACTGCTCATCTTGGGAACAAACATCAGATGTCCTGCATGTATATGGTTATGGGATACACATCATGCACATGCATATGTTCCAAACTTCCAACAAGACATATAACTCCATTTCCTATAGTTCCCAAAAAATGTTTGTTGAATGCTAAACCAAGTGGTTGGATTCTGGTTTGCAATGGATGCCATGATTAAAATAAGTACTAAAAAATTCATCCATGTATGGAAATCGGGAAAATTATATAAGGAGGAAACTCACTTCTATATGGGGATGTCCTCCAACCATATGGGGCCTGTCACTGATTTCTTCCATCCTCTATGCGACAGAAGAAAGCAATCCATCCCATGTTATTGTAAACAACTGCAATACACATGCAGCTCATCATAACAAAGATAACTGGAGTTGATCTCAAACATGAATAAAAACAAGGAGAATGTTCAATGTATATGAAGGTTTTTCTTTTCTTTTTCTTCTTTTTTTTTTTTTGTTTTTTGGTTAATGGTGTTGGTATCTCATTGAAATGTAGTAAATTGTGCTCTACATAGATTTTAATGGAAATGGCAAAAGTTTTAGAGAAATTTAGACAAGCATATTATTTGCAAAGATAACCTCAATCAGTGTTTAGAAAATTGGCAGTTCGATCCAGAACAGCCCGAGTCAAACTGGAACCGGCAGGTCATTGGTCCAACTCCCCAAATCAGGACTCATCCTAACACATCTAGAAATCATATTTAAAAAGTTTCTTAATAACGAACTGTTGTTTTTAGAATGATATGAAGTTCCTAACCCTTGCTTGAACATTTGAACATGTAAAATTTCCTTTGCACATTTTTTTGTCTTTCTAATTTTTAATTTGGCCAAATCAACTGAGCTAGTTGCTGACCGGACTAGTTTGACTCAAAGCCAGTGGGTAAGCTGTTCAACCCACCGGTCCAATTTTTTTAACACCGCCCTCAATCATATGATGCTTTAACAAAAAAATCTGAAATCACCAAAATTTGGAAAAATGAAATTGTCACCAGTGTGAGAGTGGATGCAAAAAAAGAAATTATGGAGTCCAAAGAACATGACTAGAACAAAAAAGAAAAACTCTCCAGATTTATTTGAATTTTCAGCAAAATTCACTTCCAAAATTTTCATACTATAATAGATACCATAGAAAAATAAATACGTGCACCTTATACATACCATTAACATCTACTTCCAAATCGCTCCTTATCTGTCAAATTCACATCCAAAACGTTCTTAACCAATTGATATTGAAATCACAGATCTGAGATTACACATGCAAATTTAAAGAATAAATCAGTATTAATGAATGATAAAAATAGATATCAGAATTCACAAAATTCATATATGATTTAGCCAAAAAGCTTCAAATGAAGTTAACATTTCACCAGAAAATGATCAGAACTTCTCCAAAGCCCAAAAACAAACAAATTATAGTAAAAACATGATAACAATGTCATAAGAAAGATAACAAAAAAATCTCGACAACAACTTAATCATAAAAAAAGAGAGGCAAGAGTATGATATACTTCCCTTGAAATGCTATCAAACCCAAATATTCACGCATTAAATAAAAAATTAAATAGACAAATTGCTTTGAAAAACTAAAAAAATTTCTTCAAACAACGACTAAAAATCAGAAATCCAAATCAGAATTTCCCTAGAAATACCAGAATTTTACAAAATTCATGTTAAATTTCAAAACAAAATGGTGGAGAAACAGGAAAACAAATCATTTAGAAATAACGCATACACTAACCATGAATCTGATAAATATGAAGGATGAGGCACTCTCCTCGCCCAATTACAGTCAGACACCCTAAATGTCAGATTTTATGGCGGGAAGGGACTAAATAACCTAAAAATGAATGGATTATTGGCCCTAAAAAATTCAAAAAAAATCCCGAATTATTCCTCAAAATCCAAGAACCCTAGAAAATAAAAAAAGCAGATTCTGAGAAGGAATTTTTCTCTGTAGAGGTCAAAGAAGAGGAATTTAAGGCATCCCTATGTCCATGAAATAGGAAAAGATAATTAATTGGAAAGAAGAATGAGCGATTTTTGGGTAAGCAGTTGAGGAACGAGAAGGCTCCAAGAAAACGCAGGCCATTTAAGTTGAATTGCTTAGTGGGCTCGTCTTTGATCGACACGCGGCAAACTTATAGTGGTGGGACCGGTCGTTAAAACCAACGGTTCCGATCATCCAATAGGGAAGTGTCCTTATACTGTAGAAATAAGATGTACCTAAAAGGACCATCGAAAAAGGTTATTTCTGTCACTAAAAAATTCTTTTAGTGATCATCTTTGATAAGATATATATGAATATAAAACAAAAAATGAATTTCAAATCTTAAAAATATAACATTTTATAATACATTATCTAGACCGTCTATTTTCAAGATTTTTGAGTGCTCATACATACACTAGATTTATACTATTTTTGGAGCTTTCAATTCTATTATAGGGGTAGAAAATAGACTTTTGCAATAAAATACATATCTTAAAGAGATTTTGAGGTACACTTTACCATAATTTTTTAAGGTCGACACCTTATACAAAACCTCACCTTTCTTAAATGGGCCCCGAAACGTTAAAAAATATTCCAATATTTTTGGAATGTTTGTGGAAAGGGTGTGGTTTCCATAAGATTTTATGATAAATATAATTTTGGTGTCAAAAGGTCACCCGGTGGCTTGAGAATCTATTTTCATCTCTAAATATAAAATCTTAAACACTTGAAAAATGGATGATCTAGACAATTTGTTGCAAGATACATAATGTTTAGGATTCAATTTTTTTTTTCTTTTCATACATCTCGTCATCGAGATGATCAATTAGAGGGTTTTCCAATATCACAACAACCTTCTTGTCACACCCCAAGAATTTACAATACTGTTATTCCTGAGATGTGACAGACAAAACATATATACATCTATTGATAGGACAAATTTACAGTGGCGAGGTCTTACAAAGTAAATAAAGAAAGCTAGCACAACAACAGTATCTTCCAAGGTTGATCTTGACTAGCACTCAAAATGAATCCACAGTTATCCTGAAAAAATGTTTACCATAGTTTGATGAGTTTGGCTACTCAGTAAGTGATCATCATAATCCTAAAAAT